TGGTAGGTTCCCTCACTAATCTATTGGAAATTCCATTGTGCCTTATGCGGGGATCAGTTATCTGTCCTCTGTAATGTAATTGTTTAAATTAAAAAATAATAATAAAAACTTGATGCTAGAGTAGAAGTAAGCAATATAAATATAAATAAAGTGAAAATAAATATAAGATTATGGGTAATATAAATAAAATAAGAATAAATTAGAAGACATCAAAACAGTGCTCCTTCATTTATTCGTCAAATTCCAATTAAGTTTGAATGAGCACTGAGAAAGGTTTAGTGGATAGAGTGGTAAATTCAACACAGTCCCTCCCCTCATGGAGCTCATATGTTAAGCAAGTAACTATAACAAAGAATGATGAATGTTAGCAAAGGCAGGGTACTTTGAAAACATAAGAAGCTCTCCACTCAGTTTAAATGTAACATGAACATTTATGAAACATAAAAGTAGGATTAATAGAAAAATGGAAGTAGAGCACATATTAGGGTCCAGAGAGTAAAGACCAAAACAAATTGAGAAAATATGAAATATTCCAGGACAGTGGAAGAGGGATTTTAGCTGTGTTCGGAGCAGGGAAATGAATATTGAAAGATTAGTTATGCTGCTTGCACACAATAGTAGAATGTTGAGTTGACAGAACTGTTCAACTAATTGTACTAATCTTCTGCAAAAAAATAAATTTAAAAGGTCTTGAGAGAATTTAATAGGTTATTGAAGCCCAAGGTAGGAGAGTTGTAGAAAGTTTGCTTGAAATAATTCCATGTCTCTAGAAAAACATGCCAATGATACCACAGCATCAAACTCTACGTAGTCATTGCGAAACTGTGATGAAGCGATATAGTCACACTAGAATGTGGTCATCTATTCAGTCTTTCATTAATCTGTTTGTTTATTATTAAAAATACATTAGCATTTTCTATATGTTAGGCACTGTGCTAATCAGTAGTGACACAAAATTTAAGAAACAGAGGGCCCGAGCCCTGACCTCATAAAAGCTCACGCCTTAGTTGGAAATAAAAAAGGTGAGCAATTACAGTCCAGAGTGATACGTTCTATTAAGAGAGCCTGAGAGCATCGGGTGGTAATTGAGAGAATTAAAGTAACTAGCTCTACTGGCAGAGAAAGAAGGATGTCAAAAGAACATGATTTATTGGAGTTTGATTTTTGTTAATTCAAGAACAAATAGCCTGTTGAGCACTAATTTGAGCAGGTACTTATATAGGCACCTAAGCATTTTTTAAGTATTCTAATAATAAAGTAGAAAAATATGAGTCAGATAATGCACAAAAGTGGATTTGTATATGATTGCATAACAAAGTACAAATAACTTCAATCAACAAATCAGTGCCAACCAATCTTTAGTCGTTATAATGCTCTGGGGCTTGACACTGATTCATTAAATATTTTTATCAAGGACCTGGATGAACACATGAGACATAAACTTGGAAATGATAACCAAGCCGGAAGTGGTGGTTAAAACATTTCGTACAGAATACAGAATAAAACGATGAATGGTTTCTATGGGCAGAGATGGTAAATCAAGTCTAATAAGATAAATTTAATTATTATCAATATAATTGTAAACTCATATTTAAATTAACTGAATAAATATAGGATTTTGCAGAACTTCAGTGACATCAGAGCATAGAAGATCTGTTATGACACAGTGTGGTACGGATGCAGAAATAGTCAACGAACACTTCCAAGTTTATGTTACATTAACACAGGCATTAAGTTCCTTTCAGCAGAGATAACTAGCAATTGTTACCATAGCTTACACTGCTGAGACTCAATTGACACAATACATTCAGTTCTGGGTGCTGTGGATGTGATTTTATGTCTTAAAGTGTGGTTATTTTGTCAGGGACTTGGCTACCAGAGCTACCTAAAATAGCAAGGAATGCAAAGAGAGTTCTTAAAAGAACCAGTGGAAGCAGGTACAGGCCAGTGGATAAGGCGCTCTGGACACATAATCAGTAGGCAACATGACAGCTGTCCTAGAAGGCAAATTGTGCATGGCATCAAGAAGTTTGGGGGACTCTAGCAATAAGAGAAGGTTGAGGCCCTCAGTTAGACTAAAGTGGACCCATTCT